ATCATTCATGACCTTATTTCAAGACTGACTAATTTACTAGACATTTGTGTAACATAGCATGACTTTGATGAAGTTTAATTGCAAATTACAGCGTATTATTTGGTACAATTTATTTAATTTTATTTAAGGATTGCAAATTACTGCTTACGGAACCACCGTTGAATCCAAGTGGTAACCGTGAGAAACTTTTTCAAGTTATGTTCGAGCAGTACGGTTTCAATTCCCTCTATGTTGCTGTGCAAGTAAGTTTTCTTTTGCAAAATTAAGTAGTTTCAAGAAAAATTTGATTCTTTGTCGGAGATGAAAGAGTATTCAACGAGCACTATAACCACGAGGATTCCAGAACTATTTGTCATTAAACGCAGCTTTCTTTAGTTTTAACCATGCTGCAGTTAATGCTACTTGAAAAGATTTTTGTAACTGACCATTCTGCGTAATCACTTCATGATTAAACCTCGATGTTTCGTTTGATACGCTACTTTGAAAACGACAGTCAAAAATCCGAGCTGGCCGTTTTAATAAACATTTCCATCTTTTTATTCAGTTCCATTGTTTACTATTTTCATTTTTTTATTCATTTCCATTGTTTGCTGTTGTGATTAACAAGATTTGATGATATTCATTTTTACTTCATCCTTTTTCATCATATCTTGGAAATTTCATCTTCGATTTCTCCAATTGTGGAGTAAAATTTTTAGGCAGTATTGACACTTTATCATCAAGGATTACTTACGGGTGTTGTTGTTGACAGTGGTGAAGGTGTAACACACATTTGTCCGGTGTACGAAGGATACGCTTTGAATCACTTGACGCGTCGTTTAGATATAGCTGGACGTGACATCACTCGTTATCTAATTAAGGTATATGAACGATTTTCTAATTTATTGCATCTTTGTTTTATATTAAAATAATTTTAAGGTTATCATTGTTATTAAATGAAAAAATTTGTATTCTCTCAGATTTATTGGAAACAAATGCAAATATTCCCTCAATTTTGTAAATTTTCTTTCCGTAAAAATAAATTTTAGAAATTTGGAGAATACCTGTAATAGGTTGTCCTGCCAAATTTATAAGTTTTTATAAAAGTAACGAATTTTAAGCATGTTTCTGTTGTATAATCCTAACTCGATAAATTTTCAGCTTTTGTTACTGCGAGGTTACGCTTTCAACCATACAGCAGATTTCGAGACTGTTCGTTTGCTAAAAGAAAAATTATGCTACGTAGCTTATGACGTGGAAAAAGAACAAGATCTAGCTCTGGAAACGACGGTACTCACCGAATCATATACTGTAAGTATTCAGAGAATATTGGTAGTGATTTTTCTATTCCTACCTCTATGTTTCCAATTGTCTTGTACTTCAGCCATCGATGTGATCATTTAATAACATTTGTAACAAAAAAATCATCTGACTTTCTGAAGTTGGACAACATGGCTCTTTGCTTTGTTAATACATACATTCTCTTGTAAAATAAGCATTTAATGTTAGTATATTGTTCTATAAAATTAGATTTTGAAATACGGACTACTTTAGTTGCCGGATGGTCGTGTGATTCGTGTTGGAGGCGAAAGATTTGAAGCACCTGAAATTTTGTTTCAACCACATTTAATTAATGTTGAAAGGTCAGGTCTCAGTGAATTACTGTTTGGGGTTATACAGTCTGCTGACATCGGTGAGTGGCTCATATTTTTGGCATTCTTTGTTAATTGCAAAAACAACTTCAGGCGATAAAATTGAATGTGTACTTGATCTAAGCTGTCCTTGATTGGTGGCGATATTATCTGCTGTTTGATGGAAAATGACTTTATTTGAAATACGAAATCTTTCTCATGTTTTACCATATATAGCATGTATAAAGCACTTAGGATTTTTTTGGTTACCATTGCAGCGATAAGTTTCGAAAAGAACAGCAATTCGAAAAAAAGAGCATTCAGTGAAAAAAGTAGTATTCTTAAGAGAAGTAACTGAAGAACTTCTACTCCTCTGCTTTTCCTAGATTTGAAGTTGATGTAAATTTAAACCATTCGTTTTTTTATTTTTGAAGAAAAAATTTTTCAAATTGTAAAACGAAATTGTGAGGTCAAATGAATAAGGGATCGTGGTAAAACGATAAAACTGTTAGTAAGAAGTCTCCAATTTTGAACTTTATCAACAGTATTTTTTCGTTTCAGATACCCGACTTGAATTTTACAAACATATTGTATTATCTGGTGGTACCACTATGTATCCCGGTCTTCAGAGTCGTTTGGAACGCGAACTTAAGCAGCTTTATCTAGATCGAGTTCTGCGAGGAAATACAGAAGCATTTCAGGTTTATTAATTAAAAGCTTATGAAGAAAAAAATATTAATTGAAACATTTTTTCTTGATAAGCTACCGGGCTATATTTTGTAATGGTATTTTGATGCAATTCTTTTATGCTAAGATTTCAGATCTGACATTTAACTATAACTGGATTATTGGCAGTTATGTAAAAATGGTATAATTTCAGAAGTTTAAAATTCGAATTGAAGCTCCTCCAAGGAGGCAGCATATGGTGTTTCTTGGTGGTGCTGTATTAGCAAATATTATGAGGGATCGGGATGCAGTAAGTATACATTTGTAAATGCATACATATGTCCATTCTTTTTCCTTTCACTTCTATAATATTGCAATATAAGGATCAAATAATATTGCTGTAATGATTTGTTCTACGAAGAAAGCAAAATTAAATGTTTCATTTTAATTCTTATTTCAGGATTTTTGGATTTCGAAGGTAGAATACGAAGAAAATGGACTTGAACGGTGTTTGAGAAAGCTAGGCATCAGGTGATTTGATGTTATTTATTGACATTAATGGGATTTTTATGATATATTATGATAGTTCATCATTTGTTTGTATCAAATCAATTGTATAGCTCTACCGACCACAAACGGAAAATGTCTGACTTAAAAATCTCGTCAATCATGGTTACCATGCAGTTTGAAAAAACTCTATATCGCCATCAATATAATTCATTTATTTTTTTATTTATACTGTTTTTCATGGGTTGAAATTAAGTTGTGTCAGGGTGATACATGCAGCTACGTAATACATGCAGTTAGGGATAGTTAAGGAGTGAAAAGTCGTGCACAAAATTAGGAAAACTCATGTCTCGGACATTGTTGTTTAGCATCATTTTTACTGCCAGATAGGAATTGTTAACTAATAATTTTTCACAACTAGGAATTTTTATACTTTCTTTGAAAATATGATTGCTGGTAAATGTGTTCATCTTTGCTGACCCATTTTAGTTACATATATTGCTGCACTGTTTATTTATTGTAACATTTTGATCTTATAAATTAGGTGAACTACAAGAACGAATTAGAAATGGTTCACTTTTATCTTTGAATACTTGTATGATTATTTCATTTATCTTGAGTTGACAGATGTGGAAATATTAGCATAGATAGCAGGATGCATAGGAAATGAGGAGAATTTTTGATGATTCATGTGAATCATTAAGCTTTATATAATATAATTTAACAGTTTCATTCCCTTATTTACATTCATGTTCACTTTCCTTGTAATATGTTCCTAATGGTAATTTGTTTTTTGTTTTGTTTTTAATTACAAATTGATAAATCTATTTTTGTTGTGATAAAATCGTGAAGATTTGAAGTGGAAATTGTTTCAACATATTTTTATATATCATATAAATTTTTGGGAGAAGAAATTATGATTTCAAAAAATTAGTGGAAAAATAGTGCGAGGTGATTTTGGTAAAAAAGAAGTAGGAAAGGGATGTAATGGAGAGAGAGGTCATCTTAATTCTTAAAATTTTTTCTTAAGATTTGAGAGGTAGGATTTTATATTTAGTACTGCTGATTTTGATTTTTAAATTTATGTAAAACCGTTGTTCATAGCTTTCTATGAAAAGAGAAAAGATTACATTTGAAATTTATGTTGGAAGAAAAAAATTGGGTACATCTATAGAAGAAATAGGAAGGCTTAGTAATAGGCTGGCATTTGAACATCGGTTAATTTCAATAATGCGATTATCATTATAACGATAAAATGATATTAATGCAGTGAAATCTGCGTAAAAAAATGTATTTAGCAGTCGTGAAAATTCTGTTCCAATAGATGATACTAATAATCGAGTAAGAGAATTGATTTAACTTGCATTCTGATACTTATTGAGTGGTCTGTAATACCGTAATATCCATTATGGAATGGATATCACAGTATGCTTAATAGTGTGTTGGTTTTCAGAAGTTTCAGTTGAAGTTTGGAAAGGTCGATTACAACAAAAATAATCATTATTGTTGTGATCGTGGCGGAATCCATGCTTTGAATGAACAATATTTATCGCTGTTTGCTTTCGAAAGCACCCGCGCGCTTCTGGTCGACATTTGAACGATCGCCTGCGTCATTGGGTGTTTTATCTTCTAGAACATTATCAAAACGGTAATGATGTATCCATTTCTTTGAAACATTTTTTTATTTTAAAATTAAATGTATAATATTTAAAAATGTATAATGTAAGTGATTCATTTTGGTAAAATGTATGTATACATTATTATCCATTGTTTTTATTATAAATCCATATCACCATACATTTTGTTTCCAAAATAATTATTTATATATATATATTAATCTACGTATAAAATTTTCATTTTTCGAAAATTTCATTCTACATGCACATTTTATGAAATGTATTTGAAATGTTCGTTTCCCATGATGTAATTTTTTTAATGTTTTTCAGGCAAATTGTTATAATTAATCACTTAGATCATCCATAGGCTTGTTTTTTTTGATTGCATATTGTTGTGGTGTGGTCAAAGGCACAAGAAAATAATGCTCTATAGCTTTTCATATTATCCTTAACTATTTATTTCCTTCATTGTCAGTTTATTCACCTACTTGAATATGCTACTTGAATCGTTTTAATGATCGTTTTATTTCTTTTCCGTATCGTTTTGGAAAGATGAAATTTCAGGAATTTATTTTTCTTGTCTACCCGATCTATATTATCAATGCCTGCTTCAAAAACTTCACCAGCTGATGTGATTGCACAAAGATACGATAATATCATCAAATCAAATGAGGATAAGCGAGAAGTTGGTGATTTGAATTAAATTATGCAATTTCATTTTTTACTCATAAATTTTGAAAAATTTGTTTCAGTCAAAAAATCTCGATTTAGATGCAAATATTTTCAAGCAAATTTACATAAATTAGATTGTTGCCTGAAATAGACTTATATTTCAGTATCGGGGATTGGAGCTGACAAATGGTCTTCGGGTTCTTTTGATTTCAGATCCGAAAACAGATAAAAGTGCGGCATCATTGGATGTTAATGTGGGTAGGTATTTATAACATTAATTTTCAATTTCTATAACTTTTTGTGGATGTTGGAAAGGAAAAAATAAGGTAAGAAAGGATAATAAATTGTCTGAGATTGGATTAAAAAAAGTTCGATGGATATATCGCATGCTGCTACAAATTTCACATTTTGTTCAAGTTTCGTTGGAAAATATTTTTCTGTTGTTTTTAAGTTCGTTATAAATTTAATAACATGCTCATTAACATTATGTATACTACATTTATTCAATCTTGCAATTATTTATATTGTATTGTAGGACATCTAATGGATCCATGGAATTTACCTGGATTAGCACATTTTTGCGAACATATGCTTTTCTTGGGGACTGATAAATACCCGTCAGAGAATGAATACAGTAAATTCATATCATCGCATGGTGGAGTAACAAATGCTTATACAGCTACTGACCATACGAATTACCATTTCGACATTGCTCCTGAACATCTGAATGTGAGTCTCTATCGCTTTGAAAAATAACTATGGAACATTCTCATGCTGCATATTTCTTATATTGCCGACAGTTTTATCCATTTGTTTATCTGTTTTCTCTTTATTTGAACCTTCCAATTTTTTAGGGTGCCTTAGATAGGTTCGTGCAATTTTTCTTATGTCCACAATTTACGGAAAGTGCTACCGAACGCGAAGTGAGAGCTGTTGATTCGGAATTTTCCAATGGTCTTTTTAACGATCAATGGCGCATGTTGCAAGTTGAACGGTAACTATATGATTTTATATTAATTATGTCAAATTGGTTAAAGTGAACAAAGCCTTTTGGGTTTTCGATAAATTTGTGTTATGGTATAACAAGTGAAATTTTAAGCCTTTTATAGTTTATCGTATTTGTTTGTTGGGGAAAATATGCGAAACTTCATTTCAAATTTCACGTATTTCAAAGCATATCTGTAGGTAAAATAATGGAGAAAGGGTTTGGAGAAAGAGCTGAAATTTGGAATAATTTTAAGCGAAGTCGCTGTTGTAAGAAAATACCAGAAATACTGGAAACTTCGCTTCGTTGTTATTAATAGTATGAGAGATAATAATCTAAGCAATATATTTATTGTAATTCTTTTTAACTATGTTTTTATGTCATTCTTTCTCTCTCATTTTATTTTAGATCACTATCGAAACCTTGCCATGATTATGGCAAATTTGGTACTGGCAATCATACAACACTTATGGTTGAAGCCTTAAAAAATGGAATTGAACCACGTAAAGCTCTGTTGAAATTCCACAAAACATATTACTCATCGGATATGTAAGTTTATCCTTTACAACAAATGTGATTTCACAATATTATTTATTTGAAATATGAGTGAATTAGTATGACTAAATTTTTACCAACAACTTTTTGCATAAAATGAGTTTTTTTCTTAATTTACTTTTGGAGTGATCGGATAAACTCAAAAAAGTGGATATTATCTCCATAAAGTTTCATACTTCAATTTTGTCTATTATGAAATTGCAGTAGATAAGATGTTGCTATCCTGTTTAATGTATGCTCTAACAATTAAATTTTGAACAAAACTTTTCCAGAATGTCATTCGCCATTTTGGGGAAGGAGTCACTGGACCAGCTAGAGCAAATGGTTGCATCACTCAGTTTTGGAGATATTGAAAAGAAGAATGTATCGAGGAAAACTTGGAATGAAGGACCGTATGGTGAGGAACAGTTGGGAGTTAAAGTTGAGGTAGGACTTGTTGAATCCGTGATCATCATAATATTCATCTGTGAGCTACTTTGAAATATGATTTCCCTTTTTTTACTTGACTTTATGTCTTGTTATGACTATTGCCTGAACATATTGTGAAATCAAAAATATCACGGAAAATCTTTTCATTTCAAAGATTTTGCTAGAAATGTTTCGTTTTAGTAAGTTTATAATTAGTGGAATTGTTTATTTTTTTAGGGTATTAGCTGTGTGCCTCTATTGAGATCTTTTTCAGCTAGTACCCGTGAAAGACCTGCGGTACTTAACTCTGACATTTCCGATTCGCGATTATCGAGATGATTACCGATCTTGGCCTGCTCATTATGTTTGTAAGTTTTCAGTCGTTCTTGATATGTTTCATTAAGATGATGGCTTCTTGTAAATAAGGCTTGCGAGTTATTGAATTTGTGGATCATGCATTAGTTCACAAGTAGTAGCTTGCAACCAGTTTTAAATAATTTCTCAAACTCGATTATGGACTACAAAAAGCGATTTCTCATTGATTTATTTCTTTTCCTAGTGCTCGTTTTAAGCGTTTAATATTAAAGTATTTCAATATTAAACTTAAGAGAAGGCAACTGTTCAAATTTTAGAATTGTTATATGTAGAAAAGCGATAATAATTAAAAATACTGAAAAGTTTTTGCAGTTCTTAAAAAAATTTACTGATGAAAATTTTTCTTTGAAGCGCACCTGATAGGTCATGAAGGTCCAGGATCACTGTTATCTGAGCTGAAAAGACGTGGTTGGGTTAATTCATTGTCAGCTGGTGATCGACTTTTGGCTAGAGGATTCGGTAACTTCAGCATATCAGTGGATCTGAGCGAACGTCCGTTTTTCGATTTCTTTACATGAATTCTATGAATAAAATAAATTAAAGACAAATTTCACATGCAGCAATTGGACATGGAACTTTGAACTTTGTTTTCCTTCAGATTAATTTGTCCTAGACTTAAGGCTCGTAATTTTTTAAAGTTGAAAGCATTTGATTATGTTTTCTTTGTAGAAGGTTTGTTGCATACCGATGACATTGTTAAGCTGGTGTTCAATGAAGTAGGTTTAGTGAAGCAAGCTGGCCCACTGAAATGGATTTTTGATGAATTGAAGCAGTTACAACAAATTAAATTTCGTTTTAAGGTATAATATTTTATTTCTCTGCGTTTTTATTGCAAATGTTTGTTTAATATTTGTCCCAAACACCTCAATTTTGAATTTCATTTTGAGCATATTCTAAACTAGCATTAATCTTTGTAGAGATTGTAAATATTTCAAATGGTTGTTGTAGGATAAAGAAAATCCATTAAATTATGTTACGCACATTTCCTCAGAATTGCAACGGATACCGTTCGAAGATGTAATCTGTGCGGATTATAAAATGGACTTATACAAACCAGGTATTTCGGTTTCTAAATAATTGCAAAGATATATAATTGAATTTGGCTTTAAAATGGGAGAGGAGAGCGAAAATTAATAAAGTTGTTTTATTTAAGTTGTATTTTATGTAAGTTAATTTATTTTTGAGAATGTTTCAGATTTGATAAAGGAATTAATCGAACAAATGAGACCCGAAAATATGTTTTATGCAGTTATTTCACAGGAATACGCAGGCAAGAAGGGTAATATAAAAGAAAAATGGTATGGAACAGAATACAGCAGTACGAAAATTGATAAGGTTTGCCACACACGGCCTATTTTATGCAGAAATAGTCTTCGTAATTAAGCAAATAATTTTTAATCTTTCAGGGGAACTTTTGTACGCCGAAGTGAAAATTGAATTATTCGATGAAGTTTATTGTTTAATGATATGCCTGAATAGTTTTTTAAGGCATAAAAATTTATTGCAGGAAGTTTTGTCGAAATTTAATGACGCACTAACTCAGACACCAGATTTCCTTAGCTTACCAGTCAAAAATGACTACATTGCAACCAAATTTGATCTGAAACCGCGGGAAGAAATCAGGTGAGAAAATAAAAATACCAATTATTTTAATTTATAATTCGGATTTTTCCGTTTTATGTCCTGAATTTCATTTGGTAGATGAAAGAAATAAAAAAAAGGAAAGAGAAACTGTGTTTCATATGTCTTTAAGTTAATTAAATGTTCCTTTTAGTTCCACTGGAGAATGTTGTAATGCTTTTCTTTCTTTTTGCAAGCAATATACCAGATTTAATATAGTTTTCAAGTAAGGAATAACGTGTATTTTTTTTACAAGAATGGCATTACGAATTTTACTCATTTATCTTAAGAAAAATACCATATCTTATCGTGAATAACAATTGGTGTCGATTATGGTTTATGCAAGATAACGACTTTGATCTACCGAAGCTGAATACTCGTATAGCTTTCAAATCACCGATGATGCAATCAGATCCGTTGAACTCTTATCTCTCTGCAATGTTCGTCATCTGCTTACAGGTAATTTCGCTTTATTCATTAAAAACAATGAAGTAAGAAATAAGGAAATCATTGAAGTATTTTTGCTTTCAACAGTAATGGAAATTTTCGTTGTGTTAGTAAATTCTCATATCTGGTTTATTTTAAAACTTTCTGATTATACTTAATTGAAGACTGCTTTTGAAGTTGTCATCATGCAGGAAATTTAATTTGAAGGAAATTCATAGACGGCATGTGAATTCATTTTCAGGATGCAATCAGTGAAGAAACTTACAATGCACACCTTGCTGGCTTAAAGTCATCATTCGATTTGCAGTCTTATGGCATTACTTTGCATGTATCAGGTTATGATGAGAAGCAGCCGAGATATATCAATGATTTGATTCAGCGGTTTATCACTTTTGTGCCAGGTAATAAGGAACGCAAATTGCTGGAGTATATGACTTCCTATGGCATGCAGGAGCTTAACCCTTTCTCATTGATAACTCCTCTCCCAATCGTTGCTGTTCTTTTGCATTGGTTTAGGGATTTTGAAGAAAATAATTTTTGATATGAATACTGCCGAAATTTGAAGCAAACATTCAATAGAATGTCGAGCAAGATGATAAAATTAAGAAATGAAATTCTCGATTTTAAGTCATCTTATGTTTGCTTTAGTTTAAATATGCTGTGGAACAACTGTCAGGTCATCTTAAAAATTCTAGCGGCATATATTTTTTTCTCTTAATACAATAATTGATCGTGACATTCAGATGAGGAACGATACAAGGTTTTGAAAGAAACGTTTTGTCGAAATTTGCGAAATTTTCGTCAAAGTCAACCATATATGCAGTCTCATTACTATACTACGTTATTGCTTGGTAGCCGACAATGGAGCAAGGAGGAAATATTGAGTTGCGCTGAAAGTTAGTGCTCTTTTATTTCCAGTATTTTTTTTGAATTGGAAATCAAATGATACACTGTAATAATATCAAAGCGTTATTACTTTTGGAAAGATAAATAAGGAAGTGGTCTTATTTCAGATTGTCGGGTTGAAAAGTTGCGAAAATTTGTACGTGAATCTCTACAAGCTCTGCAAATTGAAGCGCTTATTTATGGCAATAGCACTGAAAAAGTAAGTTTTTACCGTATGAATTTTTCATCAAAGCATTTAACTACTTCGTTCTGTGTTATTTCCCAATGTTTTTCTTTTAGTTATGATTCAGTGAGTCTGAAAACTGATTTTTAGGAGTCTGCCAAAATTCTCGATGAGGTTGTGTCAAAGTTCAAAGAACTTCCGGACGCGCGATATCTCTTCGGTAGTGAATTGGATCAATGTAGAGAGCATGAAATTCCAAAAGGTAAAATTTTGCATCATTCGATTGAATTATATCATGCTATTGTTTGTTTTTTTTTTAACTTTGCATCGAAATTGATGAAGTTTTCGACATATTAAATTATATTGCATAACATCTCTTAAATCATATTTTCCTATTTTTCACTTTTTCTAAATACTTGAATGGAAGATTCAAATTTATATGAAGCACGTAGGATTTTTCCCATTTCAGGATGCCAATACGTATACAAGGCATTTCAGCCAACACATCCAAATGCATCCGTCAATTATGTTATGCAAACAGGTCAGCAAGATACCCGAGAAAATGTTTTGCTGGAATTAGTCGTGCAGTTAGCCGCTGAACCTGCTTTCAATCAACTGAGGACGACGGAACAATTAGGTAAACAGAAATGCGGGTTTTTTCATTTATTCAACAAGATGTTTGACTTCACGTCCTTATGTGTAATCGTATATAGCTGTCAGTTGTAAGTCGGAGCCAGAGACGAAATGATTCTTCAAATCTCAAGGAATTAAATTCCAGGTTATATTGTTCACACGGGAGCTAGGCGAAATAATGGTGTTCAAGGAATCGAATTATTGATTCAGGGACAACAAATTCCGGAATTTATGGAAGAAAGGATCGAAAATTTTCTCATGAAGTTCAGGGTAAAAATTTAGCTGTATTATTTTGTTACATATAATAATTACTTTTCTGATTTTATTTTCCTTAAAATATGAATTTTCCTTTTAAATGTGATTTGTTTTTCCAGTCTGATCTCGAAAAAATGCCAGATGATGAATTCCTGGACAACGTTGAAGCACTTGCAACAAAACGTCTCGAAAAGCCAAAGACAATGAAAGCTCAGGCGAGCCGTTATTGGGCTGAAGTTGACAGTGGATTTTATTTATTCGAAAGAAGTAATTTATTTAATTCACAATTTCCTATGTCTATTGGAATAAATTTAAGAATTTTTTATTAGGGTTTATTGATTGTGTTCAGAGAGAGCACTGATACTGCAAATGATAACAGTTATCAATTTATTGAGCTATTTTTTTTTCCGAAATAGTTAAAAGAAGCAAATGAACCAAAAAGGATTCCAATCTTCATCCAACATTGTTTTGTCAGCATGGCATGAAATTAATTTCAGATGATATTGAGGTGCCCATACTGCGAAGGCTAACTAAAGCAGATGTTATTGAATACTTTGACAAACATTTTGCGGCGAATTCCCCGGAAAGACGAAAACTTTGTGCAATGGTTTATGCTAATAGCGAAACTGAAGAAACAGTTTCGAGGCGTGAATGTAATAATTCCGGCGATACAGTACAGGTAAGCCCTACTTCATTTATTTGCCTACTTGCATTCAGTAGAAGATTTAGAACCAATGCACAAAATATGTACTTCGTTGCACTCAATGCAAAGAAATATTTCGTCCTAATTTATTATTAATTATTCTGTTTTCCTTCAAGCCCTCCCTATATTTATTGAGTCTTAAATTTGTTGCTTATATTCAAAATTAATTTTTTGTTTTTACAGTCTCCTGAACGGATAAATGACATAAGAGTATTCAAATCTCGTTTATCACTTTATCCGTTACCGCAACCAGCGGTCAATATTAATCCACATGCTTCGGAAGAGAAAAAATACAGCCAATAAACAGTGATGTTTAAATCAATTTTCATTTTTAAATGAGGTTTTGTTTTTTGATAGAAATTGTTGAAATCCTCATTTTTGCGCATTTTTTGTTTCTAGCACTCTTTTTAGCAGTGCTTAGATTTTCATCATTTAAATTTCAGAATACTTCAAAACTTTTCTCACTCTTGTTCACTCGGCTTTCTTTGCTTTTTAGATTTCTTATTACACTTTGTTTACTCTTTATATTTTATATTACATGGAAATTTTTCTAAATGAAATTCTCATTTTTTTTTATTGTTTTTCATTATCATTATTACCAATATTTGAAGATTATTTTGAATTTTCGCAGGTTAATATATTATGTTGAATAATTTTATGTGTTGTCAAAATTACTTGATCACTGAATATAACTCATTTGATTTGATGGCATACCGAAATAAACATTCATAGACATTCCTGATGACAACTATGGTATGAGCTATAAAATTTTGATATTGACACATTCGAATTTTTAAGATTGAAATTATCGATGATCAAGTTGTTCTACTTGGCTTTACCTTCCCAATTTCTCAAAGTTTTCTTAGAACTTGAAGATTGCCATGTTTCCGTAATATCAAATCTTTATCTCTCTTTGCATTTTTCTATGGGCGAAATGGAACATATGATAAAGTTATTGAAAAACGATTTATATTTATTAATATCTTGATATTTGTTTACATAGCAAAGTTTTGCTTTAAAATAAATGATAAGCTTATCCAACAACAATCCATCATATACAGGAGAATAGTAATTAATTGATTAAATCGATTGAAGAAGATAAAAAATAAAATAACGACTGTAAACTCATGTCTTCAATTGAAATAATAGCTGACGAGAAAATATAACAAGACATGGTGAAATATCTGAAAGTTTTTTTACTATTTTCTAAAATTTGAAATTATATCAATTTATTTAATGAATTATCATTATCATTATCATTCATTATCACTTAATGAATTATCATTATATCTTAATATTTTAATTCATTATTTTTCCTGTATTATCTGATTTTTTTGTTTGAATTATTCCTTATTATTAATTAACAGAAAATAAAGAAAAAACGTATAATTTCTTAATCATTCTATATAAGAATTTTCATTATAATAATTATTATTTTACTTAACTTTCTTAAGCAATAAGTTTTATCATTTATTCTTACACTTTATTTTGTGATAATTTAATTCAAATATCTCAATCATCATATGCATTATTTTGATTTTCAAAACAGAAGAAAGATTCTATTTAATCTAATTATAAGTTTAATTTATAGATGCATTAAACTATTTGGTTCAATTTTTGGTATCGGTTCTTCCGGATTTGACATTTCAATTGATGATGTAGCAGTGTTATATCCTGTTGTAGATAATGATTGCATTGTATTAGCTGATAATAATTTACGTCGAAATGAACCACGTATACGTGTTTTGCTACGTCTCAATGAACGACGTGCATGTATAGCATTTCGCATAATAATAGGTCGATTTGCATCCATTTTCGATGCTTCAGCACATTGTTCGAAAAATTCTAAAAAAAAACCTAAACATAAATTATATCTGTTTATTATAAATAAATATATGATCATGAAATTAATAGTCCATTTCAAATAATTTAATATGTTCTAATCTTTACTGTTAACTTTTTTAGGCTAATACTTTTAATACATTCTATTCTTTACTATTAACTTTTTAAGGCTAATATCTTTAATATATTCTATTCTTTACTATTAACTTTTTAGGTTTATGATATATTAAAACAAAAAAGAAAGGTAAAAAGCTATTATAATTATAATTAAAATAATTATAAATAAAATTAATAAAATAATTAATATTAATAAAATTAATGAAAAAAATTTAATTTTTTTAATTAAATAATTGCTTATAATTAATTCTTTATAATTATTTCACCTCGTAATTTATGAACATCAGGCATAATATGTTCTTGTAATTCGCTCATTTGTGCTCCGGTTAATTTTAATGCCGTTTCCAAATGTTCTAAGGCCTTCTCAGCAGCCTGAAGTTGCTTTTCCGCTCCTATTCGTGCCATTACTTCATCTTTTAATTCAGCTTCCGTTATATCACGTTGTTCGCTTACTTCCTGAAAAATTTTTTAATTTATTCCTTTCCCTCTTCTTCTGGAAAATTTACATATTTTCTATTAATTAAAAAATATGAAATATTTAAGGAATATTAGTAGAAAAAAGAAAATATGTAAAAATATATAAGTTTTAATTAGAAACAATAATTAATAGAATTATTTTATAAACAGTAGAAATGAGTTTAATCTAATTTACCTTCAATGAATTTAAAAGTTCCATTGTTTGACTATTGTAATATTCTCGTTCCTTTTCCAAATCAATTGTTTTCTTTTCATTTAAACGAAGCCTATTAATAATTAAATCATTCAATTATTGATTGAGTGAATTTTTGAATGAAATAAATTTATTGGAATTAATTTAATTTTAATTTTTAGTTAATTTTTTTTATCATCAACAAGAAATCCTAAAATGAATCAAAAAAAAACAACAAAGAATGTTACATAGATATCATACATTGCTTCAACGCGTTCCTTTTCCGCTAAAATACAATTCGTTTTTGTTTCAATTTCCATTAATCGATTTTTCAATTGACATGTTACGGTTGATAAATTTTGATTTTCAAGTAAAAATTTTTCACGTTCCCTGATTATCGATGATACTTGCTCTTCAATTTTCGATTTTTCCAAATTGAGCGACTACAAAAATTACGAATTATTATTACCATATTCATTGTGCTACATTGTAATTACGGTAAGAAATTTTAGGGTACAAAAAAGTAAAATATTCATGGAGATATTTTAGATACAAAAACTACGAAATAATAATTATTACCATATTCATTGTGCTACATTGTAATTACGGTAAGAAATTTTAGGGTACAAAAAAGTAAAATATTCATGGAGATATTTTAGATACAAAAACTACGAAGTGATAATTATTATCACATTCATTCTGCTATCTTATAATTACGGTAGGAAATTTTAGGGTACAAAAAAGTGAAATATTCATGGCGATATTTTAGATACAAAAACTACTCATTGTGCTACATTGTAATTACGGTAAGAAATTTTAGGGTACAAAAAAGTAAAATATTCATGGAGATATTTTAGATACAAGAACTACGAAATAATAATTATTACCATATTCATTGTGCTACATTGTAATTACGGTAGGAAATTTTAGGGTACAAAAAAGTGAAATATTCATGGAGATATTTTAGATACAAAAACTACGAAGTGATAATTATTATCATATTCATTCTGCTATATTATAATTACGGTAGGAAATTTTAGGGTACAAAAAAACGAAGAATTCATGAGATGAAATTTTAAAAAATATATATAATTTTAATTTATTAATTTATTTAATTTATGCTCTTTTTTGTATTTAAAAATATTTAAATTGAAATTCGTTTTATTATATGAATATTTCTCTCTCAATTACAATACCTCAAAATGCTCAAAGTTATCGTTTTGAATAAATTTAAAAAAAATATATTGCTATAATTTTTGCTAAGCCAACGAATAGATTATATATATATAAATTATCAAATTGATAATTTTTGCATTTGATAATTTCTTTTTCGGAAAATTTGAATTTTCTAAATCTTGCAAGCAAAATGAAAATTTGCCAATTAAATTGTTTTCAATTGTTTAATTAATTATTTTCGATTTAATTCGTAATATTCTCTTTCTTCATTGCACTATTAATAATATCTGAAATAATTTAATTCAATTTCAATTCATTTGATTACATTTAGCTATTATTTCTTAAAACTAAAATATATTGTGGAAATGATAACGATTGCAATTAATTAGGCTATTAAAATATTTTACTAAAAAATTCTCTCTTTTCATTTTCCCATTTTGACCTTGCCGATTTTAATTAATTTATTTTAATAAATTACAAACCTGCATATTACTGACAAGATGTTCTGTTTTGGCATTTAGCGAAATTTTCTCCTGTTCCAATGTTCGTTTCGTTTCATTCGTAATTTTCAATTCACTATTCAAAATTATTATTATTAAATTATCATCATTTCTTAATAAATTAATTTAATTGAACAAGAAGATAATGAATGGATAAATACGAAGAATGAAAATTTTATTTTAAAATAAAGTAATTAAAAAAAAATTGAATATTTAATTAGGAATAAAATTTTTTCAACTTCGCTATTAAATTTTTTAAAATTAATAGTTTTTAATTTTATCATTATTTCTTATATTTCTAATTAATTAATTGAATTGAATTAATAACAATAAACATGAATTGAAATTTCATAATAAAAATTAATAAAAATAATGAATGAACTTTATAACGATGGAAAAAAATTAATTACAATTTAAACTAATTTAGATTAATTAATTTAGAAATGGAAAAAATAGATAATGGTTAACTTTTTTACGCTTTGCAAATCATCTTTTAATTTCTTCGTCATTCGAATTAATCTTTCTCGTTCTCTTTCCAGTTCATCTTTTGCTCTTTCAAGACACTATAATCATGATAAATTATGATAAGAACTATCACGATAGAAATTTACATTTCATTTCTAACCAATCAGTTTTACAATCCTTTGCTATGATGATAAGATTGATCAAGATAGAAATTTATATCTCATTTCTAACCAATCAATTTTACAATCCTTTCTTATGGTACTTAAAAAAGTGATATTAAAATTTTCTCTTTTAACAAATTCATTTATTTTAATGCACGCTATCATTTATAAGTATTGGAATTACTACAAATTCCTATTCATATTAAAATTACTCGAAAATTTAAAACTATTGTTGAATTTCTTCAAATTACAACTTTTCCAATAAACTTTTGAAAAAGTTGTAATTAACTTTTCAATTTAAAGTTCTAATTAACTTTTCAATTTAAAGTTATAATTAACTTTTCAATTTATCAAATATTAAATATGAAAAAATTTTTTGAAACAAATTATACACCTTAATTAGTAATCGTAAATATCTTTTTACCACTTTTCTTTTTTCAAAAAAAAAAATTTTTTTAATTAAATTAAAATAAATCAAACCAAATAACGACTATGTTCTTCTTGACGTGCTTGTGATTCAGCTACCAACTTTTCCTCATACATTTTCTTCTCTTCATTTAGCAATACACCACGACTTTCCAATTCTTCCACTAATTTTTCCCATGATGTCGTATTCTTGTAGGAACTGAAATTTCAAAATTTTTTGTTAAAATTCTTTTTAAAATTCTTTTTAAAATTTACATGATATAATTTTCATAAATAATTCCACGCAATTCTTCATATTTTTCAAATAGTTTATTGTTTTAGAAAATTAACAATTAAATGTAAAAAGTAATTAAAATTTAATGAATAATTAATTCGACATAAAAAGCAAAATTATTACCCAAATTTTAATTACTAAATGAATTATTGTGAATTAATGAAATGATAAAATTAAATTATATCGAAAATGTTCAACTTTTTTCCTTTGATAATTTATTTTTACAACAATAACCTTTTATGCGATAATTATAACAATGTTAGAAAATTAATCATCAAAAATTGTTTTTTGCTAAGAGTAATTCAAAAATGAATTATCTTTTTTTTATGAAAAATTATTTTAGATTAATTAATTAATTAATTAATTCGTACTAACATTTTTGTAGCATCACGTAAGGCAGTTAGCCAACTTTCTTGTGCTTTCGAATCCGGTGCACAAACAATGATTGCTGATTTAAATTGTATATGTGTTATTAGTAAACAATTCTTGTGTCCATGATCTTGGCCAGCTACCACAGAACAATCAACAAGTGGTACAATTCCCTGATAAATTTCAAATTTGAATATTTCAATAATTTGCATGCATTAAATGAATAATAAATATTTAGTTGTTAAGAAGAAACAAAAAATGAAAGGAAAAAATTATTAATTAATAAAAGAAAAAAATTACTTTAATTAGATTCCATTATTTTATCCTAAATTATCTCATATTAATTACTTCACTCTATTTTTTAAATCATTTCATTTCATAAGAGGTAAAATTTTAAATCTTAAACAAACGCAATCCCATATATTATCATTCTTATAAAAAACACGTGTATTCTAAGATATCACGTAATCATATGATATATGTTGCTAATTATCACTAAACAACAAAAACTAAGCTTAACAATGAAATTAGCTTAACCTTCAAAGTGATAAGTAAGTATGTAAAGAAGCTAAATATTATCCTTCAAAGTAATAAGTAATTAAGTAAATAAGTTAAATATTATCCTTCAAAGTAATAAGTAAGTAAATAAATAAGCTAAATGACTACCTTATATTAATGTATTTAAAAAATATAAGTTAAAGCGATAGGGCTTCTTATCATTAATTATACAATACGTAAGTAAATTGTAGAAAAAAAAAAATCGATAATTAATGAATTTCTTTTCATACCTTATATAATAAATGAATAACTATAATATTATTTTATAGGTAAGTAAAAAAAGAGAAAATGAATTATAGAAAAAAATTTCATATCTTATTCGATAATATATGAATACGTGAATAACTATATATATCAAAATTACATTTTATAAATAACGTCCAGCAATGTTGATAAATACAGTTTTTTACAACCTAAAATTATTGTTTCCCGTCTTACTTATTTGTTTACTGATATTATTCAGTATTATAGCTATTCATGTATTATAGAGTTATTCATGTATTCGAATTACAGTCTATTGTTATTATTTGAAATTATTATTTGAATTACAGTTTATTTGCTTGCTAAAATTATTCATTGAAACATTATAGCGTATTTGTTCACTACAGGAAATTAAAATAATGCATAAAAATTATGATGAAATAATGAAAGATGATTTTTCGAATTAATAAAAATAGCCTAGTTTAATTTACTTGTGATATGCAATGGATAAATAAAGCAATAGAAGAAAAAACAGAAATTCGTATTTTTATCGGAATTATGAATTATTAATTATTGATTAATAAATTAATAAACATTGATGTGGTATAAATAATGGTAGCAAATAATGTTACAATAATGGCAGTAATCATATTGATAGAACTAATAATTATAGGGATGATAATAATGATTACTAATAATTATAGGGGATGATAATAATAATTATAGCGATGATAATAGTGAGTAATAGCAATAATGATAGTACTAGTCATAATAATGGTAGTAATAATGATAAACAAATAAATAAATAATAGGAAGAGGAGAAGAAAAAAGAAATAATAATCATAACAATTAAAAATATTAGTAATTAATAATAATAAATATAATAATAATAATAATAGTTATTATAATAATAACTAATAATGATAGTAATAATATAGTAATAAACAATGATAATTAATGATGATGACGATAAGATTATAATACCTTTGGATGTAAATTCATTCGTCTTGTTTTCTCAAATATTTTTTTCTCCGATACTCTATAATAAATTAGAAAGCATTCTCTCAGTATGAAGAACCTGAAAATCAATTATTAAAATTTTTTAATTATTCTCTATAAATTAAATTTAATAATTTCAATATTTATTGAATTAAGATTTTAAACAACCAAAAATAATTATAATAAAGTGAAGATTTAAAAATGATTAATTAATTTTAACCTAAAAAAATTAGAAATTAAAAATTGAGAAGATTAATATTAAAATAATTAATCATACCGCTTATTCCATTTTGCTGAACGATTTTTTCGTTTACTTTGTTTCAACATTATACCGTAATGTTGTACACCAAATGTTGATGAATACATTGCTAATTCAAGACGATTCTTTTTACAACCTCGAAGATTATTCAATGCATTTTGTTGTTCAGTTTCATCCGAATTATCGAATACATCAGCTATACGACGTCTACCACGATTTAATGATGTACTGAACTAAATAATTTATCAGCAATTATTTTTTAATTCTAATTTATTTGATCGATTAATTTTAATTACTCATTAAATAATTAGTAAACAAAAACAAATGATACCGATTATTTTCTCGTTTTTTTATTGATTGAATTAAAATTTTAAAATACATAAATTCAAATTTATAATATATCAGCGTAGATGTGTAATTTAATTTTTTATTATGAATGTATATCAGAATTAACACATTAATTAAACAATTAATGCAATTATTTTTATTAAACTTTAAACAAAATAATAAATTAAATAGACATTATTCAATGAGTCAACAAATTTCAATAAAACAAATTTCAATTAATTTCAATTTCTAAAATTTCGATTTCAAAGAAAACAACAAATCTCAACTAATAATTTTAATCAATTATCAGCTTATGTTATTTGAAATAATAAGAAATTACTAATTGAAGAGAAATTTTATAATCATTATCAAAAAATATTCATCAATAATTACGATATTAATTCTAGAACGGCTTAAATTAAGTATACATATTGATTGCTGATATCATGATAATATTTTGATAAATTAATTATGGTTATATTCATATTTTTTTAGTTAAAAATTTTTCTAAATTTTTAACGAATTTTAATAATTTTACCTGAAATGAAAGACTTCGCAGAATACCTCGTTTCTCTTCACAACTATTGATTTTTGGTAATCCTTGTATTATAATTAATGGCGATGTTGTTGTTGTTGTTGTTGCTGTTGTTGCTGATGTTGTTGTTGTTGTTATTGCTGCTGTTGTTGTTGCTGTTGTTGTTGTTGTTGTTGTTGCTGCTGCTGCTATTTTTGTTGTTGTTGTTGATGGTATTGCTCTTGTTGTAGTAGCATTAGAGCGTCTTTGTCTTTGTCTTGAATGATCATCCGAATCGACCCCATTCATTTAATTGCTTTTCTTCTACGCTAATCATTTAAATTGTTATCATTCTTTTTTGATAAAAATGAAACTAAAAGAAAAAGAAACGAAATGATAAGAATTATTATCTTATCAGAATTATCAATCAAATAGAATTAAATTTCTATTAAATGTTGAAATTTCGATCGGTCATTTCGTTGCAATTGTAATCGATCGGTTAATCAGTTTGCTATTGTTATCGTTAAAAATATTGAAGAAAAATTTAATTCATTTTTCAAATGACAAATTTACAACGATTTCAATTGCAAAGGAAAATGGGATAAACAATAAAAACGAATGATAGTCGATATTTTGTTTAAATAGTTGACAGAATAATAATTTTAGACTAATTAAGTTTTAATATCTTATCATGTAGTCCATGAAATAAACGAATTTATTGATAATTTTGTTGACAATAATATCAAATATTGATTGATCGAATTATTCATGAATTAGTTACAAACGAAGCATAAATAAGTTTTTCCTTTTTATTGTCTATTGTTTCTAATACTGTTAAATAAATAGAAAGAATATATCAATGATTAAATTATTATACATATTGTTTATCAATTAATCAATTAATCAATGTTGACAGAAATATTTCCTGTTCTGTTCCACCATTCAATCACTTATTTACTCATTCATTCTTCACTTATTCATTCATTCATTCATTCATTCAATCAGTCACTCATTCATTAAGAAAAGCCTCTCATTCATTCAATCAATCAGTCAATCATTCAATCATTATTTATTCGTACATTCATTCATTCATTCACCCATTCATTCATCCGTTCATTCATTCACTCTTTCATTTCATTCATTCATTCATCCAGTTAATCAATCATTCAATCATCCGTTCATTCATTCAACAAATGATGAAAGATGGAAGTGCTGAATAAGAAAAAGAGAAAGAAAACACCGCGAAAATTAAAAACACTTTAACTTTACTCCTAAACAATAAATAAATTTAACTGTTACTTTTGCTTATCAATTTCTCTGATAAGCTAATATCACCGTGGTTATCAGTGATACATTTATCAATTCCTTAATCACATTAATTACCTTTCCATTTTATCAAATAGACATTCTTTCCTAAACATTCCAAAAATTCTTTAATTCCTTTTTTTCCATAAAAGGATTTTACTCATTTCAATAATTTAAAAATTCTTCATTAAATGCTGTCCGTAAAATCTGATTCTTTTCAATAATCTGTAAGCTTTTAAATTACAAAATAAATTCAATGCTTGCTTGTTGCCAGCTTTTCATTTAAATTTTACGTCCTATTTTTCTTTTGTTAATACTTTTCCAGAACTGTAATTAAGAATTATATTTATTATGTTTATTTCTTTTCTTTCATACAATTCTCAACAAGCAGATTGAATGATTTGTATGAAACAGAAAGCTTGGCTGAATATGTTTCTCAGCTAACGGAAATGACTCGTATGTATAAAACAGAAAGCTTGGCTGAATATGTTTCTCAGCTAACGGAAATGACTCGTATGTATAAAACAGAAAGCTTGGCTGAATATGTTTCTCAGCTAACGGAAACGGCCCGTAAAGAACATTTTGAATGGATTACATAATTTGAATGGATTACATAATATAATTTTTCGTTTACAATTAGTTCGATCAATAAAATACTTATTGCTATTTGTTGACAGCTTATAATTTAATTCAAATTATTCTTAACTCTAAATATACATATATTTCAAATTTGAATTTATTTAATCAGTAATGAAATATATATTTAAGTATAAGTTTTTTTTTATTGAAATCAAATAAACGGTTCTTTGTTTTTTTGAAATGATTAAATACAAATTTATACTTACATATATATTTTATAATAAATGTATAATATATACAACATATAGGAATGATAAATATAATATCCAACCAATCCATGCAATTTTAATAAGTTCAAAAAATTAAATTTAAGAAAGCAACCTCTCAAATTGATTAAATCATTTATTGAAATTAAAAATACTTTTTGAATGAAATCAACCGATCAAAAATACAGCAAATAAATGAAGCAAAATTAGGAAAATCACTGATAAATGAATGATAAATTTCAAGGACATTTTTGGCTCATATAAAAGTAAACAAAATTATAAATGTTACATTTATCAATGATTATCAAGAAGGGATGATTAATTTACCAATTGCCAGCATGGATATATCTTAAAATGAATGGTCACTTGTGCCAGGTAAGAGATATATATATATATATATAGTTTAGGTGTATATCTTAATGTGGAATAGTCATTAATACAGCAACAGGTAGTAGTATCTCACACATAACATTTACCATATCGATACATTGACCTAATTATCTCTTAAAATGAAGAAAGTTGGGTTAATGTTTCAAATTATTCTTCAGCCAAATATTTTAAAATTTTAACATTATTTCGTATAGCATGTGAAATAATATTTTAGAAAATCATTATGAATTAATTTTTTAATAATTAATTAGTAAAAAGAAAAGAAATAATATTAAGAGTTTTGTTGAAAAAAGAAAATTGAAGAATGCTATCAGTTTGTTTAAATTTTTAATTTTGTTTATTATTAAATTTGTGTGAAAATTTGAAGTATGAAAAATTTAAACGTGATAATAAGTAATGATAACTGTGATAATAAGTTTATGATGTGATTGATAAATATGAAAATTTTAAGTATTTTAAGTAAATTTTTAGTATGAAAATGATAAGTGTGATAATAAATTTATGATGCGATTGATAAGTGTGAAAATTTTAAGTATTTTAAGTAAATTTTAAGTATGAAAAATTTAAATGTGATAATAAGTGATAAGTGTGATAATAAATTTGAAATTAAAATTTTACTCCTTTGATATGAAATCGAATTGTAAGATTTTAAACAATTAAAATATGCAATTATTATTTTTGATGTGAATATTGAAATAATATTATTAACGCTTACAATTCTCATATTGTGACTACCTGAATTTCAGGTAAAAATATTGATTACTTTCTTTACTAACTCCTAATAATTTGTAACATTTACCTGTTACAGGTAAAATATCAGCATATACAAGATAGGGATAAATTGTTATCAAATACTAAAAAATAAATGTATCAGCATGTACAAGATGGAGATAAATTGTTATCAAACACTAAAAAATAAGTATAAAATCATTGCAAGGAATTAAAAGATCGTTATTATATGATTCAATTTTAACTAAAAATTTATGCATCAATTTTATAAAATACAAAATGACATTACTGACAGCCAGCTGTAAATAAAAATGACCAAAAATTTATTTTTTTACAAAAAAGAAAAGAGGGCAAAAATTTTGGAAATTTGCTGAGAATTAAATGAAAATTTTTTGAATTAATAGTTTTGGTAAGTAAAAATAGCAAAAAATAAGGCATGACATCTTATGGAAAAAAATCGATCATATTTTATTTTAATACGAAAGCATTGATCGTTCCATTCCGTTCCGTTCCGTTCCGTATTTCAAATGACCCAAATTGACCAATTGTACATTGAACTAATTTGATTAACGAAATATTGAGAAGTAGAAATTTACTATGATTGAATAATGCTGATTGAATATGTCAATCGTTTTTTTTTTTAATCATAATCAAAAATCGTTATAAACTTAATGAATTCAAATAACGAAATAAAATTAAATTTGATTTGTTTCGAATTCATAAATATTTTGCTGAACTTTTCAATTATAGGTTAACAATAAATTAATTTTTACAAATCGAATTTTAGGATTTAAAATTGAGAACGAAAAATTGGAAATTAATAATAACTTCATTTTTGATTGTTTAATTTTCATAGTAGTTAAAGATGATCGTCATAACTAATTAAAATCCTGATAACTAATTAAAATCGTCATAACTAATTAAAATCCTGAATCATTAACAGTATTATAATTTCTAAATTTTATTCGCATATCCTATGAATATAGCCATTCATCGATCAATTATCATTTATCCTGACCAAGTGACTAATCTTATGCTATAATATTTAAGTATTATATTTAGTTAATAGCATCTTTTAAATTGCACTACATTTACAAATCATTTTTATACAAATATTGCTATATGATTACAGTATATTGTTTTTCATCGTATCAATGCCTGCGAAATTATAAATATAAAGACTTAAGCAGCATCAAAATATGACTGATACCATTTTATAATTTTTGTTATTACAAAATTAACATATATACTGTACGATGTATACAGTGTATATCGCACGTTCTTTAAGCATTTCTCGTTCACACCGCTTCTTTCAAAACTTTTTATAAACCAAATCATTAGCAACCATCTTGTTCGTTCTTTTTCATCAATTTACCACAAGCATGTGATAGTGCGATTATTTGTTTACAAAATGTTTAATATTTTTATCAGCTTTTTTATAAAAGACTTATCTAAGCTTCTATTTTGTATGAAAGTTTATTACTTATTTTGTTTACAGATGAACTTATAAAATTATCATTACAACATGATCAGATAACATGTCATTTCTAATCAGATATTACAATTGGTATATAAAATTGCTCGTGAAAATTAAACAATTAAGTGAAAATTATTGAAAAAAAAAATTTCAACTATTATTTAAAATTGTTTCATTCCCTTTAGTTTTCTTCCCAAACCAACCAATAACGGTATCTTTTAACACAATGTAAATATTGATAAGATTACATTTTGATGCTATTAGCTTTGGTGGCCATCCAGTTATAAAATAATGAAAATCACATATGCAAAAATCTCGTATTTTGATAGGAATTAATAGAAGAAACAAAAACACCGAATCAAATCCAATTGAATAACGATATCGTGGAAAATTACTTGTAATCGCATGATAGTACGAGTCAACTACCAAATTCAATGATGGCGATGCATAATCGTAGGAAAATTCACACCAACGATCACAATCTGAAAAAATTCATTTTCATTGTGCATAGAATAAAATTCAAAATATGAAATTATTTTATCCGAAATTACTTACTTCAACTTTAATTAGCTATGATCTATTATTTACGATTAAAAATTCATCATCTATTAATTACTTACTTGCACAAAGTTTAATATGATGATTGAATAATTAAGTATAATGTTAAATAAGAATTAAAACAATGAATTTATTTATCACCATTTTAAAAGATATTTTCAATCTTCATATGTGAGCGCATCAAATAATTTTTATTAGAAATTCTTACAAGCATTTGTAAGAAAAATAAACCAGATTTTGATTACATTATCTATAATTAAAAATTTTCATCTTTTATTTAATTTTATTTTTCACAATTTTGATCAAGCAAAAACTTAATTATATAAATATGCAAGATGAAGCTAATAATTTCAATAATGAAATAAATATGATTAAAAAAATGAAAAATTGAAAATATTATAATAAGTGATTGAAATTCCTTGAACAAAATTAACATATTCCATAGTTTTGAATGTAATTTTAAATTTTAATCTTTAATTTTTTTAATCATGGTTTTTTATAAACACTGCATTTCGTATCCCTTTTGGTCTAACGTTCAAGGTTCGTGGGCTTTACCCACTAGAATGAGGTAATTTGTACAATTTCCAATGACTCCTCTCATTGTTGAAATGAAATAATCAACTCCTGTTACGACAAGATTTTTGATCGAGATATAAGTTTAAGAAATAGGAAATCGGTCAATAAATGATCCCTTTAGACATTACGCATCCCACTTTAATATTTCTAATGATTAGAGCAATCCTTTATTTAAATTTTCATATATAATGAATGAATATTAAAACCAGTTTTACTCCAAATTTTCTAATCATTTATAATTTAATTTTCAAAATTCTATTTACAATTTATAACAAAAAAAAAAAAAAAAAAACATAGATTTACATAATTTCTTGAATGCTTCACCACCATATTCAGCTTTTCGAGTATTATCTAATCGATTCCATGCACGATTGATATGATTAGTCATTATATCCCTATCCATAAGACCAGTTCGAAACCGTCCAGGTTCCAAAATTGAGCAATGAATGCCAAATTCTCGTACTTCTTGACTAAAATATAAAATCTATCAAGTGTAATTCCTTCTGATTTTCAGCTATTCTCTTTTTTTGCTTTTAAAAGTTTCCCTTCAAAAACAAATATTAACGAATAAATTAACGAGTATTCTAAGATTATCAGTATCTAACAAAAAAAGATGAATCTCAATAAAATTTTTCCTATTCTAAAATTATTCCATTGTACCGCGCTATAATGGAAGAAGAAATCATCACTTCAAGTTTTAAAATTTTAGCAAAAAAGAATATATCATTCGTTAGTTTCAGTATGATACGATGGAATTTTTTGTAAAAATTCTCTCTTTTTAAGAAAAATTAACCGACCACCTACCGCAAAATATTGATATACGCTTCGGTAGCAAATTTTGAGACACTATATGGACCAAATCCAGGTAATGCTAAACGACCACAAATACTTGTTATTGCTATTATTCGACCACGAGATTGCTTCAACAATGGCATAAATGCCTAAAATCTATTGTCTCGAAAGTCAAAATATTAAAATATTTGTTTAATTTATCTAATTGTGAGAATTATTTGTTCGGCAAATAATTTAAAAAAACAAAAATATCTTCTTTTCTTTAATTAAATTGAAATTTAAAAAACTGAATCAAAGTAAATGAAACTGAAGCTAATTTAGAGGCAAAAAAAAAAAACAAAAATAAATTATGAAAAGTTTACATGTGTAACTCGGATAACACCAAGTGTATTCACATCTAAATGTTTTCCATATTCTTGTAACGTACACCAATCATCATATCCACAAGTTCCCAATAATCCTGCATTATTTACTAATGCCCATAATTCTGAAATACTACTGAAAAATAATTTAAACCAAAAATATTTTAAAAAAAAATAGTTTCAATAATGAAATTTCATACCATCGTGCTAATTAATACACTTAATCAGTTTAAAAAATTTTGTTAAAAACATATCTTATTACTGTCTTATATTTGGTAACAATTTGTTATAATATTTTTGCAATACTTGAAAAATTCATCACAAATATGAATGTTATCAAATTAAATTAATAAATTAAATAATGTAATAAATTTGATAATAAGATATTCTTACAATGTTTTTATAGCGCAAAATTCGATAAATTTGTTACATAGTTAAATATTATGCTTTCAAATTTTTGAATATAAATATGTATGTGTGCTTGTATCGGCATGTGTTGCATGTGTTATTTGATGAATAAATTATCAATAAAGTTTAAATATCCAATATTATTATAAAATTAAAGCTGTAAATTGCATTGGTATCCAAAAATCAATCCATTGCAACTATATTTCAAATACTTAATGCAAATCTTTTTTATTAATGATTTCTTGATCTGTCTGTTTAAATCAAATTATAAAATATTATTTAAATCATCTTTATATATATTATAAAATATATAATCAATCATTTAGTTCTATACAAAAGAATAAAAAGAAACACCAACAGATATAAGTTATATTACTAAAAGATTTAATATAATTTTTTAGCTCATCTTGTTTAAAAAAGTTTTCTAATTTATCTTTTCTGATTAAAAAAGGAGTTCTTTAAAGATTATTTTCTATATTTGAATTATATTCTTTTAAATAATTTAACATACTTTTTACTTGAAAATTTTTGCTTGATAAAAACAATGAAAAATTATTTCCAAAATTAACCGGATAATGACTAAATAATGACTAAATAAAACGTAGAAGCAGTAATTAAATTTAACACACTTAAATTTGGATTTAAATTCTCTTCCACAAAACGGACAGCACTTTGAACCGATTCCTCATTGGTGACATCAATTTTTACCGGAATTAACTTTCCGGCGGTCTTTTTAGCTACTTCTTCGATTCCTTTCATTCCCTGAATGAGCAAAACATTTGAATATTCTTGAAATGTTTTAAATTCATTTTCTCTAATTTTGACATTATTATTACCTTCGATGATATCCTATCTAAACATATTATTCCTAATAAACCATCTAGTATAATTCAGTCATAATCTTATCTTTTCAAACTTTAATTTTAATTCATCATATAATTATGCGGGATGAAATGCGAATAAAACTTATCGTTTCATTTTTTTTAATCCAACTGGCTATTTACTATTTAACATCTTCTACACTACAATCATCTGTTTCGAAATTTTATTTTCAACAAAAACGCTCAGAAAAATAAAACACACGAAATTGAATTTTAATTAAACTAACTATTTATTATATATATATATATCTTTTATTTTAACTATTTCATATAAAATTTTTTCTCCAACAAATATTGCTAAGCCAAAAAAAGGAAAAATTAAAATTACAAAAATTGAAACTTACATGTTCCGTTAAACATCCAGCAAATGTTGGTAAGCCATTTTGGGCGCATTTAATAGCCAATAAGTAGCCAAAGCCAGAATCACATCCACTAATAAAAACTGCCTTAGAATGAAGATTATCTATTTGCATTGACTCCAGAAAAATACATATGCCATAATACAGAAAGATGAGAGCAACGAAAAATAGTAACACTTGGAGGAACATTTTAATGCGCCACAAATAAATGAAACTGTCACCAAAACTCTGAAAAAGAAATGAAAGAAAAAAAATAAAGACGGAAATAAAAATTTCAATCATTTCTTCGTGCAAATTTCAAATTTGAAATTAATTTTTTCCGCAACAATTTCAGGTTTTTTAAAATAAACGAAATAAAAAATACGAAAATTATAATGTTTGCATATGATATGATATGACTGATAAAATTATTCCGAAAAAAAAAAAGTATACTTCAAATTAAAAATTATCAATTTCAAGCCATCTTCTCATCAACAAGCCATCTTCACATCAAAAAAAAACAATCGACCAACATTTCAAATTATTTATTCTCTGTCATCTCTATTCTACGATATTTTTTCATTTCATAAGCAAAATAATTCATCACTTTATTTTGTTTGTATTATTAGTATTCATATTTATATTTATTTATTTATTTGTATTAATATTATTTTATTTGAATTTTTGAAATTGTTTACAATTTCAAATTATATACCTAAAAATTAATTATTAACAAAACTTTAAAAAATATTATTTTTTTCTGTCAAATTTTTTAACTAACTAAAATTTGAGAATATTTCATGTTATTATATTTTATATTATACATATTACTTGGTAATGCCCATATAGGAAGTCATTCTTCAGGTATGCGAGAAACCATACGATATAAAACTGTCCAGCATGCGTGTGTCCTGATAAAAAATGGTGTAAAATAATTATAAAAGAAAGCGTTGAAACAAATGGATGGCATTTGATAAGTGAGAATAGAAATGATAGAGAATAAATAATTTGAAATGTTAATAAAATCGGTCGATTCTTTTTCGATCTTTTTAATACTATCGTTGCATTTTTTCCGGTGTCATGATTCAACTACTTTTTCATCATTTTGTGTATTTCAATTTACAGTTCTGTTCCACTGACGATTATTTTGAAATAAGACAAAAAAAGAATTCATCCATCATATCCCATCATAAAAAAAGAATCCATCATAAATCATCCATCATAAAAAAAGAATTCATCCATCATATTCCAGTATCATATCATTCCATTACCACCACATACATTAATAGCTAAATGAAAGAAAAAAATATCATCCATCATATCATCGTATCATTCCAGTACCATCACATACATTAACAGGTAAATGAAAAAAACATCATCCATCATATCATTCCAGTATCATACCATTCCAGTACCATCACATACATTAACAGCTAAATGAAAAAAAACATCATCCATCATATCATCATATCATTCCAGTATCGTATCATTCCAGTACCATCACATATATTAACAGGTAAATGAAAAAAACATTAAATTCATTTTATGTTACAAAATAAAAGTTGAAAAAATGGAAAATGATCAACGACGTAAACTGAAATTATTTAAGACATGCTGTTTGCACACACACACATATATATATATACATACATATACACACATACACATACAGATACCTACACACTGATAATAATTAGAGAGAAAAGAAAATTTCGAAAAGGATGGCAAATAACATAAAAGAAATGAAATTAAGAGAAAATATTTGAAATTTTAAATGAAAAATAAATGAAGGAGTTGAAAAAAAAAACAGGATTTGAAAAAATAAAAACGGAAAAATTGTTTAGATCATCAATTCGCAAGTATATTTAACATTGATTAATTCATTTAGATCGATTTTAATAGCTGTCTGAACATGAAAGAACTAAAACGTTCCTATAGAAGCGTTAATTTTCTTCTTTTAAAAATAATACATTGTTACATTAATAAAATGATAATAATAATTAATACAGTAATTAAGCTACAAAAGTAATTAAGCTACAAAGAAATAAATAATACAGTAATTAAGTTACAAAGAAATAAATAATACAGTAATTAAGTTACAAAAAGTTATTATCATCGATAAGAAACAAATGCTAATCCAAAAACTTTCACTTAGGAATAAAATGGAGTTTTAAAATTTTAAAAAATTTTAGTAATAAAAAATAAAACGTATCGATTGCAAATTTCTTCATGTAAACATTAAATGTAAACAATACATGTAAACATGTAAACATGTAAACATTGAATGCTTTTCCCTTAAGTTTCTTATTCTGCTTATTATTGTCTAATGTTCGATAATTAACACTTATTACCATTCTTTAAATTAAATTGTACATTACCCTATTAATTAATATAATAAGGAGAGATAAAATAAAAATTGGATAATTAAAAAATAACAAAAACAACGGAAATAAATTTTTCGGGTGAAAGAAACTGATTTTTCCTAATCTTACAAAATTATATTTATGTCAATGAATAAAGAAGATAATAAAAAGGAATAAAAACGGTTAGATAAAAACAAATAAATAATGACAGAAAAATGGAAAGATAAAAAGAGAGAGAGAGGGAGAGAGAGAAAGAGAGAGAAGAATATAAATATTTATAAATGAAAATGTTTCATCGTTCTTTGTTCGATAATGTATGTATAGTAAATAGTATGATCTGTAACATCAACAGTATAAATTTAATTATTTCATAATGCATTTTTTAACTCATTGCTGTACAACAAATTAACAATGATGATTTGCAACAAACAACTTGCAAATATAAAAATTACGATAAACTTTAAATTAAATTAACTCATAGAAGGTATTTCAAATAAATACATATATACCTGCATCTTCTATAATTAAAAGAACTAGGAATAAAAAAAACTAAAATTAAAATTGGAATCTTACATGCTACAACATTATGCAACTTTGTTTCTCTCATCTTCGAAACATTCCCCTTTTATATCTTGTCTTGAAAGAAATCTTGTCTTGCATTAATTTTGTAAACAGGAAATGATATGTGATCAATAAAGAGCGAAACGAAGATGAAAATAGCAACTGATAAACAAGTGGCGAAATGATAACGAATTATTAAATAACCGAATTAATAAAAATCAATTTAAAATATTAGAATTTTATCGTAATTTATATAAATTATTCCTAAGTTAAATAAATTAAAAAAAAAATGTCAAATAAATTTTAAAAAAATATACTTTAAAATTTAATTAAGAAATTGAAAAAAATCAGAAAAAAGGTTTTTTACTAAAATTTATAATTAAAATTTCATTGTAATAAACAAAGAGAGTTATATGAAAAAGTTTCTGTAATAATTTGCAATTTTTTTTAGATGAAAAAAGAAGTTGAAAGAATAAATTTAATTAAAATTCAGAATTTAATTGGAAATTGAATGTCACCGATGAAATAAGCATAGAGAATTGAATTCACTTCAACTTTAATGACTGATTTATTGACAGTATGATTGTCAATAAATGAACGGTTATATATATAT